ACTGGGCATCCGAATAGCCCGCGGTTTCAAACACTCACCCACCATTTCTACCTCATTGTAATGACATTCACAGAGAATAGGAAGGGAGTACTGATGATAACGAAGAATTACCGGAGCCCACAAAGGCCTGATAACATCTACAGAGTGATTTACTTGGGACTGTACGTCTAGAAAGCGAGCCTTGTCTGCCCCCGTTCGGGTTCTGCCAACCTATGAGCCTAGTAAGCTGCTGTCGGTCAACTTTTGTAACGAGGTAAAGACTTACTCCTTCACGCGTACATCTGGCGCCAAGCTTATCTCAGCCCTGGATCCGGGCGTAATAAGTATGAACTGCCGACCGATTGACCGCCTTGCCGCGAGCATCTGTGTCCCGATTAGCAAGCTTCGCAGGAAGTCGCATAAAACATAATCATACTAGCATGTCAATCGCCATCTTCCTGTTGATATGATCCATGTACACATCACTACAAGACCAATGTAGTCAGTAACTGATTGCACGGTGGAAATTCAGGAAACTTACAACTCGTCCAAGCATCGAATCGGGGATCCCATAGCCTCCCACAATGCCAAAAGCAGGCATACCTGGGAGAAAGACTTCTCACCGCCAGAAAGGGTCTTTGCACCACGGCCCACACTGTCTTTCGTTATGTCAGGCTCAACCTGTGGAGGACTATCAGAATAGGTCAGCGACAAAAGATTTTACACCACATACTTGTAGATCCAGTAGTTTTCCCTCGTGATCTGTCAAAAGTCGACCTCGAAAGCTCCTCTCGCTGAGTAGATATGTAAACTGTGCCTTGGCGCGTGAGGAGATATGCGACCTGAAAATCCGCCAGCGTTTCTTGCGATGATCGAGAGTTGTTTTAAGTACCTTAGCAGACATAGTTAGCCAGGGCCTCAGGATAATGATACGATCGTCTTACTTCGGCCAGTGTTTGAAACTCATCGACTTGTTTCAGTGCCTGTTCATAGGCTTCCTTTGCCCTGGAGGCTAGAGCAGCAAGTTCCTCGCGGGTTGCCCCCAATCTAGGAAGTCTTCAGCAACTGACTTCAAGATCATGGGTTTCCATACTTACTCCTGATTATATCGCCTAAGATCCGTATGGAGCCTATCGAGCTTCTTATCTAGGCTGGCGGCGGTTTCACCCTCAGGTATTGCAACCCGCGGTGAGACTAAGCTCGCTTTCTCGCTGAAGTCGAGGATACGTGCAGCGATCTCTTCTAGCCTCTGCTGTATTCGAGCTCTGCCATGTTTGCTATCATTGATTCGCTCAATTGCTGCGTTCTTCTCGCGGATTGATCTTCGGCGGTTTTCCATGCTCATTTGTGCTTCGTTTTGAGCCAACCTGAGCTCTTCATCCATGGAAGAAACCTCTGCTTCTTTAGCCGAAAGCTCTTGTTTGGTCGCTTTCAGTCCCCTCATCATGGCATCCATAGCCTCGATACCGTCCTGTAGGGACCCTTCGTTCAAGCGCTTCTCTTCTTCTGCTTCTTCCAGGGTAGTCTGAAGTACATCAATGCGTCCGTCTTCCACAGCTTCTTTATCAAGGGTCTCGGTGATCTCATCAATAAGGTCTTCTGCTTTTTGTATTGCAATACGTAGTTCGCTGCTTCTCCTGTCATGCCTCACACGTGCTTGTTTGCAGCCTTCAAGACTAGAGCGAGCGGATCGAAGAAACTGCTCTTGATCACTGAGGCTTCTTCGCAAATCTGCAAGTACATCTTTCTGCATGCTGTTTGAATGTCAGTACTAGACTATTCACCGCAAGCGGAGTTGTGATTACCTGATCTGGGATGCAAGGTCGGATTTCATCCGGGGACTCCCATTGTAGGCTGGGACAGGCGCCTGGCTTGGTTCACCAGTTCTGCTGTAAGAAAGGTGAAACCCTCGTCGCCTATTAGTGGGGTCAATGCAATAACATCTTTTCACATTGCGAGGCTTTTGTCCATCGAAAAGCACCGACGATGCCTCTTCTAGGTTCTCTATCAGTAGCATCTGTTCGATTCCATGATTTATGATTAGCTGTCGACGGACCAATTCATTGTCAATCTAGGAAGCTCAGAATTAAAACAAATTCCTCAGGTTAAAGTGTTCGTAGTAGGATCTACTCACCTGAAGTACCCGCAAGGCTGTGTCATAAGCGGGATCTGGTTCATATCTTGACGTATCAATATGACCATCGCTTCCTATGAAAATCGGACATACACTTTTGATGCTGTCAGAAATCTAAGGCCATGCGATGAGTTTCGAACTGCTTACCAATTGACTCTCTGCATGATATTCGACAAGATGTTCATGTCGCTTTTCGAGGTCACAACAAAGCTGCTCAGAGTCGTACCGAACGAATTCTCTAAAATAGAGGACCATTTTGGCTTTAGCAAACTGACATAATGCCCAATTGGGCCCACGGGGCGTCTGCGAAAGGACCCTTCCTGTTCAATGGCCTTGATAAGTGCTGGCATTCTTTCGTGGAAGCCAGAATTTCTTGCCCCGCCCTCTCTGCTCAAGTTTTGTAGAACCGACTGTGCTTGCTCAATGTCGGCTTTAATCTTGCTGACAGGGGCAGCGGCTGATTTCACTTCCTTTTCAGCTTCACCTATCTTCTCATATAAGCGGTTTCTCTCAGCTTCATGTTCCTTGAATCGAGCACGGGCATCTTCCGCGCCAGCTTTTGCCTGCTCGAGTTCCTCCTGTTTTCTGATAAAGCTTCCCCCACTTATATCGCTTAAGCGCTGGTGCTCATCTGCAAGCTTCTTTTGAGTTTCAGCTATTCTAGTCTCCGCAGCCTTCAAATACTCTCTGATTTGGCGTTGCTGGGCCTGTGTGCATGGATTAAGAATCTCAACATCGAACAGCACGTGTGGTGTGGCCTTACCTGTAGACCATGACGTTCACTCAATTGAGCGTCCATTTTATGTTTGATCTCATCCCTACTTAGCTGACAAGTCTCAAGCTTGGAGGTAGCCTGCTGAACAAACTCGGCCGCAAGTTCGGTTTCTCTCTCTGCCTCCTGTATGCGATGTTCATAGCTCCCAAGATCCGCTTCAGCAGCAGCTATATCCTCATCGGCTGTCGTCATCTCTGTAATCAAAGAATCTTGGATCTGCTCATATTTAGATTATGCAGCATAGGCGCTTCAGCTTCGTAAGCGTGCTTACCCGCTCTTGTTCCTCCACTTGAGCCCAAGCCATCTGGTTGCGAACATTTCGAATGCGATTACGTAGAGATTCATGCTGGTCAGACAAATCTAGTTTTTGCTTTGCAGCGTCCTGACGACTTTTCAGAATTGTGATATCTTGCACTCTGCTTTTGAGCTTGGCCTCGATCTGATCTCCAGACTCTTCGATTAGGCGGTAGTCCTGGTCAAGTTGTTCCAATTGGACACCTTTCACAAAGAATTTGTACTTATCACTGGGGCTAGACGAGCTTAGGAATTGACGAGCCATATCCTGCGAAAGAACGTTCATCGGGTTGTCAAATTGCAGGGTAAAGTAGTCAATGATAGAATCAAGCTCTGCTTTCTTAGTAGAGACGATACGGCCACTTTCAGACTTGATCTTGAACCCACTGGTGCCGATCTTGGAGAAGTGGCGCTCGATAATGATGGATTTTCCATAATCATCTGGCATGTAAGCGCCATCACCCTGATTCTTGATCCGCACTACAATGGTTGCGCTCCTGAGGAAGTTCAGAGTTGGATGCACATAGGGGACTAGGCAGACCTACTCTTTGCCTTCCTTGATGAAACTCTTCAGACTTTGCCCGCGGTTTGTGGCCGAAGCTTTGCCACCTAAACATAGAGTGATCGCCGTGAGGACTGCACTCTTGCCAGAACCATTTTTTCCCACAACAAAATTTATCAGCGGACCGAGCTCGATGTAAAAATGGTCATGACACATGAAATTGTAGCACTCGACGCGCTCCAGAATTCCATGCTCGGCAGGCACGTTCGGTTCGTCACCAGCGAAAGAATACTTCTCCTGGATCACTTGTGTGGCACGAAGCTCAAGTTCGTCCTCGTCATCGTCAAGGGGTTCTGATATTGATAGAGATGTTGTATCTTGAATGTCATCGTCGCTGACTTCATCGGATCCGGACGAGTTAATTCCGCGCATGCGTTTTCGCTGGTTAGATCAGTTATATGCCTTTATCACAACTGAGATGATTGACATACCGATGGGGATGCGTCTGATTGCGTCTCCTCATTTGAGTCCATAGAGAACGCCTGGGGGCGTTTACTTGGCGACATTGAGTACACTTGATTGAATTGACTTGGGCATGAGAAACTTGGTATGGTTTGGTATGAGAAGTACTCGACCACTGGAGTGCGCGGGGACCCGCTCTTATAGCAGAAGGGGTAGCCTGGTTCGATGAGACTGGTCGGTGATGCAAGCAACAAAGAAGTCGAAAAAGCTAACGCCGATGCCCCTTCTTGCTTTTTATTCGAAGTGTGGAATTAATTAGTAGCACATTTCCTTTGTTTCGTGTTCTGAGGCTTATCGGCCGCTGATAAGGCGCGTAGTCGCGTGGCGCGCTTCTCGGTGATTGTCAATTTCCCCGCTCAGTGGAAAGGACGTACATACTGTACATAGCCCCAGCTACCTGCCTGCAAAGCACACGATTGTCCACTGGCTGAGAAAGCGTTGAGCGTCATAAGGCTTTGCCACATTCTGACCTAATATGAAAGTGCCCAACCAAGTAATGTGAGGTGGCAGAATTACAACATGACTTGCCTCGAGGAGCAAAAGCCACTGTCCAGGTAAAGTATCGATGCACGCGATGCACGCTTTTGAAACTGTCTAGGGTACTGGGTAAGTTGGCTAGCATTTTCAGAATACCGCCTACTAGGTACGTCTTAACTGTACCCGCTTCTAAGGACACGCTTGCAGAGTCCAGTCTTATGACGTTAGATTTTGTTCTCTATCGTTCATCATGCGACTTGAGACCTTCCAGGCATCAAGATGACGTGGTCATCATCGGGTTACGGAAAAGTGGTACACGATAATCAGACATAACATTCACCTCAGGCGAGGGCTTGATTGAGATTTACGAGGCTATATTTTGCTGGCAAGAGGGAAGATCTTGATTGAAGGAAGCAATATATGTATTTCCCTGGATGGAATGGCTGGAATGGCTGGAAAGGTCCACCAGACTAAAGCAATCGAGATGCATCTTGAGGCTAGGATGCGATCGGGCAGTGCATATCACTAGTGGTTCATGGGTTCCTCTGCAACGTAGTGCAGATAAGCCCCCAACAACTTGGTCCCTTCAATGTAGTTTCTCTTGTCAAGCTTCTCGTTTACAGAATGGGCAGCATCAGTTGAACTGCCCATTGGGAGAAGCAAAACATTCTTCCCGGTAGCTTGCTCAAAGCTCAATGTGACCGGAATACTGCCAATGGGTTAGCTTTCAAAAGATCAGAAGCAGCCTTGATATAAGCATTTTCCATACCTGCCGCCTTCGCGGGTCATGTCGGGCTCGACACCAAAGACCTGTTGAACAGCTTTGCTTGCAGCGGTGAAATTCCAGTGCTTCGGACTGGCCACCCACCATTTCCCGTCATGTTGTAGCCAAACATCTAGCTTGTTCTTGCTGTTGAGTTTGGCGAACTCTGACTTGATATGATCAAAGACAAGTTTGTTCACATCCTCGCTTTCCATGTTTGGCACTGTTCTGATAGAGAACTTGCCGATTACCTTTGCTGGAATCACTGTCTTAGCCCCAGGAGCGGAATAAGCACCCTCGATGCCGTGGATAGACAAAGAAGGGTATCGCCATCTAGCCATGAGAGTTTCTTCCTTGGTAGGATGAATGCCTGTCTCGCTGCCCAAAGACTCATGAAGGTTCTCCATGGTGTAACTGATATTGGGATACAAAGACTTCTCCTCCTCCGACATGGGTTCGACCAGATCCATGATGCCAGGGATCAGGATTTTGCCCTTCGGATCGACAAGTTTGGAGAGAATATTGACCAGGTCTGTCATCGGCTCATGGGCAGAGCCTCCGAATACTCCGCTGTGTAGATCCTGAGCAGGGCCTGAAACACTTACGGAGTAGTAATTACAACCGCGAAGACCATAAGTCAGGCAAGGCTTCTCTGTTCCCAGCCAGTAGTTGTCCGAGATACAAACGGCATCTGCGTCCTTGAAGAATTTCTTACTTTCGGTTTGGATGAACTCCTCCAAGCCTTCCGAGCCGTATTCTTCCATGCCCTCGAAACAGCAAAGGAGATTGACCGGGAAATCCACACCCGCCTTTTTGTGAGCTTCAATCACGTTCAGCCATCCCAAGACTGGTCCTTTGTCGTCAGTGCTTCCACGTCCAAACATCCTTCCCTGATCATCGACAGTCAACTCAAAGGGCTCTGTCGCCCAGCCGTCTTCTTTCAAGGCAGGCTGAACATCATAATGACCGTAGACGAGAATAGTGCGCTTATTCTTGTCGTTACCATACCGAGCGACTACAACTGGAGGTAGATCAAGGTGCTCCTTGCCGGGCTGCTTGCCTAGCGGTCGTTGCTCCACTTCAGCACCCAAAGCTTCAAGCTCGGAGGCGAGAAACTGGGCCATCTGATCTCAACCCACATGTTTTAGCTGCAGTCCTCTTAAGGGAGGATGAAACCTGCGGAAAGTACCTTGAAGACATCTTTTCTGTTCTCATCCTGCGCAGAGATCGATGGAATGGCAACAGCCTTTCGTAGCCCTTGCTCTTCGGTTAGTACAAATCATATCGGTAGGCAATAGAGGACATGGACACATACTATCAATGAAGGAACCGGATAGGTCGTCGACCCTGTATGAAATAAGCATTAAATATGTTCAAAACCGGTCATTTATGGTCGCTTATAACAGGAAGCCACAAGTGTCACATGGTATATGGCGAGGATGGTGAGGACCGATGGAGCAGGAGTGACGAAAACATTTCAAGATGGTGAAGCACGACAGAAGGAGGGATAGGCTGGGAGCAAGGGGACGTTGGGCTCACTGTTTGAAAAATGGCTCAAGTTGTGGTGCCATCTTTGAATCGCGGATATGTCCGTAGAATGCGTGAGAAGAAGATAAGCGGCGTACGGTTGAATCAGAAATTGTGTGAGATGTCAAATTGCCCTTGATGTGGAACGGAAGTGACAAGAAGGGTCTGTACTCCCTAAGCGATGTTGCAATTCGACGGAGGGGGAGGGGCATTTGGGCCGTGGACGAAGACTAGGATTATTATTATTAACAATTACCACCTTAGGGACAGGCAGTACAAGCAAGTACCAGGTGAGGAAGCCTAGAGTTCCCGCGAATAAGCGACTACCCGCCTAGGCGAGACTCAGCTGGTATCGACAAGCGTCTAAAATGCCTTCCATGTAGATTATGATGCCTTCATCAAATACTTGGTTGGCTTCGGCTAGTGATTCCAGGGATCATCAAATGATACACAAAAAAACTGTTTATGGAAAATACATAATTATACAGTGACCAATGGCTTCTAATAGAACATATGTCGAAACGACGGGCAACAATTTAGAGGACTTAGTAAACCCTGAGTGAAGATAAGGGATAGAGCATACGTATCCTAGAACAGGAGAGCATGCGGGTACAAACAGTTTGGGAAAAGTTTTGTCAAGAGTCTCTTCCCCACGATTCCTTCCGCAATGTCCGATCCTCTCTCGCCATGCGGCGCTTGGTGCCCCATCTTGATTGCACCGCCTCCAAGACTTGCTTCTGCATCTCTTTCTTCTCCCGACTGGCTCCGCACACCATCGAGATAAAGAGTGGTGAGCAATCAAAACGTTTGGCCAACTTCGAGCGACTCCACGTCATTGGGTCACTGGTTCTGAGCCTCCGTATCTCTAGTACATCAGAGGGGTTCAAGTGATATCGTTTTGGGCCAGGCGATTTATTCAAAGATGCAAGCTCGGCAGGGTTCTGCTGGCCGGCCGAAGTATCACTAAGTAGAGATCTGCGGATGTCGTCGCTAGGAAGAAATTTCGCTGGCGTGTGGTAAACCGATGGGGAGCTTGAAGGAGGGTTATAGACGATGTGATCTCTTTTGACCTGGCCCAACGACGACCCAAATGAAGCATCGGGCTTCACACGTAGGCGCTGCTTTGTACGTCTATAAGAGGACTGGCTCCGCCGAAACGTGAGAGGCATGAGTTCGCATGACGAAGGTAGAAGGAAGGGCAGTGAGAGGAAGGGCCTCTTAGCTGCAAGAGTGCTAGCCATTGTTAAGCCAGTATTCTGAAGCACGCTCCGTGATAATAATAAGATACAATGAACTCTGGATGGCGTGAGGAGCGAGGCGAAGATCGCTTTTCATGGAATCTAAGGTGAAGGCGAAGGAAGTTATTAGCACATATTCTGTGTTATTAGCTTCAGCAGAAGCTCACGCAGGATATATATGCATGGTGCACACACTGATGAAAATATAGCTAGATCATGATTAGAGGTGTATGTGGCGGAGGTCTGGGTCGCAGTGGTATGAGTTGCAGTGATATTTACAGATGGAATAGAAGGTTGAGCTTTTCTGGGCCGTAAGTCCCGTGATAGGCTTAATAATAATACATTAAGCATACTCGTGCATAACATCCTGCATGTTCGACTTGTCCACGGTGCACCGCAGGACTCTTTGATTGGCTAGAACTCCGTATTGTGTACACAAATAAATGGAATTCATTGGCTTTTCGGAATTGAGTTCACGTGATTTACACCTACTTCGCCGGATGGCGCAGTCGGGGGTCGCACTTACTTACCTAGACCCCCCCGGCTGCAGATTCAGGCCATAGGTCTCACCAATACGTTTATGATTGTATAGGAACAGCATTGTAGACGGTGCTTAGAAAAGTGCTTAAGCCGCCGTACTTATAAATTGTCCCTGAAATAGTTGCGTAACCATGCCCTCGAGCAGCTGCGTAAGCAGGCATTGAAGCTGTAGAGACAGGCCCTCGTATGGATTAAGCCTATATAGGCTATCGAGTAGTATACTTCCTAGACAAGTTCGGTATCAAACTGCAAAATCATATATCAGCAGCTAAGCTAACTTGTAGGGTGCAATACGTAAGGCTCAAGTATCTATTGCTATAGTGGAAGTGCTTCATGACTAGTTCCTGTGAAGGAAACAAAGGTAATGTCGATAGGGAAGCCTAATGATGACTTATGAAAGATCCCTTTAGGATGTTGTACAGCACATGGTGTATAGTAGACTTCGCCTTATAGAACCGCTCTCTCCCGTCTGTGAGGCTGCATCACATAATCGATAGAAGGGCTGCCATAGGGCATCTGAATCTGAAGGCAACTCTCCATATTGCGCCTCTATTAGAGGCACGAACTAACAATGCCTTATGCAGGCATAATAAATGACTAAAGCTCAAGGCGGCCCAGCGGTCTTGGGAACCTGGAATCCATGGCATCGAAATAATGCAGTGAAATCCTTCCCATAGTATATCATGCTCCGACCTCAGACACCGCTTTCAAAGCCCGTTCTATCCGATCACGCAGGTCTGACTCCTCTTCCAGGCCGACACTAATTCTGACTAGACCAAATTCGATACCAAAAGAATTCGCCTGACATCGTCAGTAATCCACAGATAGATAAGGCGAAGGATATGGAATCATGGAGTAAGTTTTAAGAGGTTTACTCACCCAATCTAATTCGCCATAGTGGGCCAACAAAGTATATGGACAACTTCGGTACACAGTCAGATGAGTTTCGCTGCTTGGAATTTTGGTCAGAGATGCAACCAACCTCAATGTAAAGTTCGTTCCAAGACTCGGGCCCTTATGCACTTCGAGTTGATCGAAGAAAGCAATTGCTTCCTCGGTCGAATGGAAAGTGACAGAGAAGAGCCCGCCATACCCTCCATTCTGGGTGCGGAATGCGTCATAGAGAGGTTTGGAAGGGTTGAGTTTCGGGTAGTAAACATTTTTGACTATATCAGTTAGAATAAGATGAACTGAGGCTAGGTCATCTGAGCGATTGGAGATGCATAGCACTGCAACGAGGGTAAGGTCTGACTTACCCAGTGGCGACTCCAATAGCATCTCTGCAATGATTTCTGTGGTTTTATTGATTTTCTCAATTCGAGACGCGAAATCGCGGCTGTTCCGCTCCAGGAAAACGACATCTTCTGCCCAGACATTGTCTTCATATTCATGAGCAAAAGTTTCTCTCAAAGAATGATAAAAACATCCATGAGGATTGAGAACTGCGCTTCCTCCCATAACATTACTATCTCCACTGAATATCTTGGTCAAACTGCTAACCACAATATCTGCAGAAGGGAGAACATTGATATTCAGGAAGTTTCCAACGGTCTCGTCTACCACGACCGCAAAATCATACTTATCGGCGAGTTGGCGGATTCTTCTCAGATCCGGGGACTTCAGTAAAGGGTTGCCTGGAAACTCTGTGAACAAAGCCAGAAATCGGTCACCGGCTTGCAGCCGTGATTCTAAATCGTCGAGATCTTCCGAAGAACCATTGCCATAGAACAAACACCCTGGACCCCATTTCTGAAGAATTTTCAGTGAATCAATATAAGGGAACCCAAAACATATGCTTTTCAGTTGACCTCTGCTGGCCAGCAACATTTGATGCGTATTGAAAATAGAGCTCATACCCGTTGGGTAAAGGAAAACCTCTGCCTCCGTAAGTCCCGCCACACGGCCTTCCCCTGATGTTTCCTGAAGGGCCTCACTCAGCTCTACATCAGCGGTCAAAACTCCTGCTATTCTTCGACGTACAGCCAATCGTGCCTGGTCAGCAAGCGAGACGTTCAGGTTGCGTCCAAACCTCTCTTCAATGAATTGCACATATTCTTTGCCATCCTGGGCTTCCCCTATGGAGGACAAGTCCCGAGACTGATTGTGGGACCCATTCGTTCGTGCTGTTCCACTAGTAGAATCACGCCCCTGGTATCTCCGAGGGCCCTTACAGATTCTCCGAGACACTGCATCTGCCTCTTGGGATTTCCTCTCAACGAGAAAGCCACTTCTCAGTGCACCCAGACAGAATTCGCCCCGCCGACTCGATATGCCGTTCCCGGTGTGTTGCCACACCTGCTTGGCAATGGGCACAAACTCCTTCGGGTATATCACAGACGATAACAACAATGTTGTGGTAGGGAATCCGGCATCTGTTTCATGAGAAGGACTAAAACTCGTAATCCGGATCCTGCCGTGGTGTTCGACGGGCAATCTCGATTTCATGAAAGAACGACATAATTCCGCGGTTTTTGTGGATGGGAATAACATGGCAGTATCCGAGTCTGGGGAGCCAAAACGACGCACTATCTCAACCGCCAGCTCTTGTATAATTGGATGTATGAAAAAACGCGGATAGCCGCATTGCATGCTGTTTGTCACCCATGACTCCCCTTCCTCATAGGCCACATTTGCTCTCCAGGTGGGAAGTGATACACTGACTGCCTGGTCGAGGGTGAGTGACCATTCACGAATGACTGTATGTTGTAGTGAGGCAGGAGACAAACTCTCCTGATAAAGGATAGCGGGGTACGCGGGGGCTGAACTTACATGGTCGGTATTTGGAGGGACCGGGCCTCCAGTAATTTGAAGCATTGTGATGATATGATCGAGTGCTGGAATGAAGCTCAAAGCGGACTGAGTACAGTGAGTATAGAGGGAAGTAGGGAAGCTACCAGTAAGATAATTAAATTCTTCAATGACGAACACAGTGATGAACAGGTGAGGAAACTCTTAAATGACGACAAATTGGAAGGAGTCATTGCGGCAGTAGCCACTGAGCGATGTCGGCGTTGTCAAGAGTGGCTGACCAATGAAGATAAGAGCGTACAAATTCGCGGCACAAGCCTGAGTGACCTTTTTACTCCCTCAGCCTCCACGCAGCCGTCTAAGCTACGCTACCTTATACAGTGCCCACTTATGTATTAGTACATACCTTACTAGTACTTAATATGTGTATTGTATGGTCCAATGTATGCTTGGTAAGTCGGTCTGTACATAATGTAATCGGTAAGCAAGCGGGTAGTATAAGCAAGCAGACAGCTGTGTACATCAGTTTTATATTTTTTAATTTAAAGCAATTCAACTACTAATAATTCTACTAAAAATGCCTTAATTATTAAAAGCCTTGGTGGAATAAAAAGACCAAATCTACTTTACTATTAAAGTTATTTAAAAGGGCAAAATTCTGCTTATAGCCAAAGCTATATATATTTTTAATATTTTACAAACAACTCTTTAATAATACCTGTAAGGAGTTTAA